GCAAAACGATTCTTTGTTTCTCCGCCTATTCAAACGAAACGAAAGGCATGGCAAAAACAAGCCGCTGGTATCTTGGTTAGAGACTTTAAGAGGGAAAGATTTATCAACAAAGGTAATTTATAAAATAGTTGAGGACTCAAATAAGAATTCGAATTTCGATTCAAGGTGTGTAAAGCACTAAAAAGTAAATATAAAAAGCTTACCGAAAGATGGCTTTCGATGCTCCAAGTGAAAGTAGGCGGGAAGAAGGCATTGTGGCTAGCCTATCCAAACGACCCGCATGAGAAATCAACCTGGCAGCGAGTATAGCTGAAGAGATACGATCACCAACACGACGGGAGCTTTGATCTGATTTGGAGTCGAGGCTAAGCGCAACGTTAAAGAGACTGGCCATGTTTGGAACCAATGCCTCTATCCTAGATGCTAACAAGTTGTAGGTAGTCTCCCGAGTCTGGCATATAATGGATAAAATTAGACCTATCGGTTAAAAATGGAGAACGCAAAAAAAATATACACACTGAGAAAGGGACTCACCTCATATAGCTTGAGTAAATGTTGCGCAAAGGCTTTCAGATGACGTGAATCCTCCACATCAAGTTCCTGGCCTATGGAATCACGGGCCGCAGCCACGAGGACATCAAACGCCTTGTCGCTCCCGCCAAACCAAGAAGTCACCTTGGCCTTTTCTTCTAAAGATGGTTTAGTGTGCAAGAATTTTGAAATGCTGTCCCGGCTCGTGTAATCAGCAATTAAATTAATGAATCCAAAGTCTGAGATTACCAAGTTAGAAAAAAGGCCTTGCTGGCCTTTCTGGCATAATTCAGGGAAGTGCAATTTGTATGAGATTCGGAGACTACTTGTCGATTTACAAATTGATTTATCCAATTCATCCACCAATTCAAGCGACCTGCAGATCCATGTGGCCGATAGAAATTGAGTTACATCAAGAATAGCACGTGCTAAGGAGAGGGCAACTACGAGACGCGCCCTAGTTTCAGCTTTCTTAGCAGGGGCACGCTCTGAAACACTCGTCGCGCCAATATTCTTGTATCCGAGAAGTGAACTGGCATCAGAACTAGCCTTTAACACATTACTAGAGCCTAAAGAGTCTCCGGGCTGCAGAACAAAAGAACGCATCAATCTGCCGTAATTGAATCTTATAAGACGAAGTATTTCACAGACAGCTTCTTGACAGATGCATTCAAAACCAAGTCCAAATGATCTAAAAATGAATTCTAACGTTTAGAACCGTAATGAGGTATATATCAACATTCTGAGCTAAATTATATACATACTGTATATTTTCACCGAGAAGTGAATGATTAACTCCTAATGTACAATCCTTAGCTGGAACATTTTGACGTAGAAAATCTAGGAGTAGACCTGTTACTCGGCCTTCAGAAATTGCTTGGACATTTTCTACAGACTCTGAGAGTGAGTTAAAGTTTACGTGCGCAACAAGTTTAATAAAGGAATTCAAATGACCAGAAAAATCCTTAGTCAACTCGTCAAACTCCTTGATTCGAAATAAAGAGTACCCTGTTACATGTTCGGATAGTGCGTAATGTAGGTGAGTCTAAGAATAAAAATAGCTTTGGAGCATACCGCCATTGCAGCGTGGCCAGGAAAATAACTGGTAAAAAATGGTTTGTAAAGCCGCCACAAAGTACTAAATATCGCAATTATATTTTTTTAAACACTATAAAATTTAAATTATAGACATGCACAAATAGTTAATTTACATTCATTAATGTACTTTATACGCTTTATTTTATCACGCGCGCTGCACAAGTAAGCGCTACTTATTTGGCTCGTCGTGCCCTGAATATTTATTTTTTTCTGAAGTATTTAGTCCATCTTGGTATATAAAGAGAAAATAAATTATGCATGTACATCTGCGACTCTCCCAACCGTCGGTTAATAGATTGATTTGTTTTAGATTTTACTACTGCCTAACTCATCTCTATTCGCCACTCATATCACCATTTCGTCACATAAAAAGAAATTTTGGCAAAAATAATGCGCGCCTCTTAATTATTATCTAGAGGCAAGAGAATACCTATTTAACTAAAAGTTAAGAATATAATTTATGGTAGTATCTGCTAGAAAGGCATAAATAATATAATCGGTTCCAGAGTAATGACTAAATTGCACTTTTGATAATCTTCAGATACTCCGCAGATAAGGTTATTATAGGGTTTTGTGCTCGTGCGGCAGTTTTTATGTGGGGGAGACTTGTCGATCCATACATAAGAGGCTATCAGGACAGAACTGCCTGCATATGTGTGTGGATTCAAAAATCGAAGGTAGCTCAGTATGTGGTCACTAAAGGACACCAGATAGAGTGGTCTAGCTCCCAACATTTTTTTCGGATATGAGGACCTCACAGCCAATCGGAAGATCAGAATGCCGATTAAATAGATAAAACAAAGAACATCCTGAACAAGATGAACGAATGTAGGAAACTAAGTAACAACAATATCTGACTGCTAAATAGAATGAGAGAGAGAGAGAAAGTAGGAAAGGAAACAGGAAGAGCTACTGAGTAAGAGGAGAAGACTTGACTAAACTGGAGTCTG